ATCATTAAATCAGCCACTTGCAAAATGAAATTTCGGCCTCTATTACTCACTTGAGAGACCACGAGGGGAAGGCATTTTTCCATCCATCAGCCTCCCCCCTCCCCAACCTCCCCTCTCTCTCTGCCTCCCACTCCCATCCCTCCTGCCGCCTGGACAAAGCCTCCACCGGCCTTTTCCCATACCTCAACCTCAACCTATTCCTCTTCTTTTCCCTCTTTTTACGCAGGTTTCTGTCGCTGCTCTTTTCAGGCACTTAGATGAGGAGGAGTTGTGTCATGTTAGCGATTTATAGTTGAGATTCTCGGTGTAAATAAAGGCTTGATTTCAGGTATTTAAAGTGATGTAACAGAATACAACTAGATTAAATCTAAACCCCACAGGTTCCCCTTTAACTTGTTTGTTGAAAATCATTTAAATTACATTGTTTTCTTTGACTGAATTCTTTCTTTTATCAGATCTTTTTTGTAAGAATATCTTGATCTAGAGACTAACTTTTCGCCTCATTTCACGCTCTACTGCCGATTCATACGACTCATTTTCTGTTATAAACACTGACTCTTGTGCACAGGAAGTGGCACATGTTTTATTTCTGCTTTGACATAAACAGCAACAGTAGAAGAAGCAGCCACAGATCGATCTTCTGGCACCATATCGGCTAGAAGCCAGACTTAGGTAGCTTTGTTTCATACTACGCCATCACTTTCTGCATATTCTTCACATTAAAAGCATTTTACTATGAAACCAGAGGTGGTGACCATGACATTTGTAGTTAAATAACATCGCTGTACCAAACATTAACTCCAGATAGTTTGCTGCACTTCTTGTTGAGAGGCAGTTTAGAAACTTTGATTGCACAAAATAAATTTTATGACATGCTTATTACAAGCTTGATAAAGGCAAGCGGGCGCAAGCAGGGGTTGTGGCAACGTCAGCCCCAAGTTGCCAGGAGTCAAAACCAGTAAGAAAACCAGCTCCGTGTTGGTCTGAGGCAGACGCTACAGTGACTCACTGTGGCCTCTTGAGGTACAAAGTGGTATGGACAGGACGACCCAGGGCTAGCTGATTAGCGTGCTAAGACTAGATGTCTTTCATATAGCTTTATTTTTTTTATTTACATTCTGCTTATAATTTTAGTTCATTTGAATGTTTTAAAATTATCTCTAATACTGGTGACAATTTTCTTAGAAATTACAATTACAACTAAGACCAACACATGATAGTAATTAGCGGCCGTATATCATCAGTTCTGTGTATTTAAATGTATTTAACCCTCATATGTTCTAGTGCTTGTTGACGTCTCCCAGGTTGATTTGTAATTTCAGAGGAGCAGTGAGTGAATGTAACCTCGGTACCACAGCTTCTACATATCATTTCATAGACCGTCACTGGCACTCCATAAAGCTGTCATAAAACCTCCACGCCTTCCTCTCAGTGTGTGTGAGGAGGATGCATGGATACGTTTATGTGAAAGATAAAGACAGATGAAAACGAGGAGGGAAAGCGCAAGAAGTTTTCTTTCAGATTTTAAATTAAAATAAATGAAATGTGTGTAATCAGTATTTTACTTTCATATATTCAAGAGGATGTGACAAGATTACATCATTAATGAAGCAGCTGACATTTCATTGACATCTGCTGATGCAAAATGTGAAAATGTGTGAGTTTGAGGCAAAACTGTAGAGTTCTTTATGTTGTCTTGTGTTTCATTTTCACACTATTGGTCAGCAACGGAGTCCCAGAGATCTAAATGTTGACATTCTGCTGTTTTATTTGTTTATAGGGCCCCTAATTCCTTGTCGTAGATCTAGTAATATCAAGGTTATATGTGAGATTTAAATCATTAATATATCTGCAAAAAACTGTTCTCTATATAAAGACACAGAGTCACATGGTGTCTCTCTCCCTCTGCCTGTGTTGTATCGCAGCCTCTCTGTGGTTTGTTTACATAGCCGGTCTGCTCCGACTGAAACTGTTGTTTTTATCATCTACGTCTGTGAATTAAGGATTTATTTCCACCAAACCAGAGTTGGTGATTGTTGGAAACACTAACAGAGATGGTTTTTGGTTGATTTTGTGTTTTTTTTCTACATTACATTTATTTGTCTCTTCTGAACCACATGAGGCCATTGTGTTTCCATAAGTTGCTATGATGACAGAGAGGGGGATGATATGCAACTAAACAGGTTCCCATCAGTATTCATCACATCTTTTTTCCTGGAGATGGAGGGACGAAAAGAAAGAAGAAAGAAAAAACAAATGGAGAGACGGCTGGAGAACAACACAAAGAAAAGAAGACAGGTAGAGAGAAATGACGGAGGGAACAGAGAGACAGAAAGGAGGGATTTATGGAGGTGAAACGACAAACCGCAAGCCACTTAAGGAATGGACTGATAAATACTATCGACAGGACAGAGAGAGGAGGGAGAGAGGGAGGAGAGAGGGGGAGAGAGATGGAGCTGCAGTGGAGCGTTGCGGGTTAATTGAGATAATATTGACCTCTTCTCTAATCTCTTCAGGGGGGGAAACATGCTTCAGATTCATAAATAAATAGGAACATGAGCAACAATAAAAGCATTAGTGCTCTGACGGAGGAGGGCTAATGGCACGTCAATACGCAAAGATCGCTCTGAGTGTGTGTGAGAGTGTGTGTTCAGCATCAGTGAGTCAGTGTGGCTGGGTTACAGTGCGGACGGATGTGTTTTACATGAGTGTGACTGCAGCCAACACTTTGTATGTGTTACTGTTATAAATACTTGTGCTTTCTAATTCATAGGAATACAGAGTCATATATGGCGTCTAAACCGAATAAACAAATCGCACTTTAAATGCACAAAATCCTGAGATGGTTGTTATACGTACAGCTGCAGACAAGAAAGGTGGATTCAGACAGAATGCAAAGCAAATAGTCGCCGTGCATTGTTAGCACACATTTGATCACTTCTAATCTACATTTGCTTTAACAAGGAAATTGTGAAATCATTTTTGACTTCAGACACTAACCTTCACAATTTGTGTGCTCAAATTTAATAAAAATGTATTTGTTCTGACATTCATTCACTAACATGTGTTTTGTGCACCAGATCTGAAGTCGTGTTTTGCTGGTTTTCTAGTAGTAGGTGAAGGAATCTCTGAAATTTAAAAAAAAAATCAAAATACAATACAAAAACATAAAAAAAATAAATAAATAAATACTACAAAATGTGCTTTGAACTATGTATAACAAATATGATTTAAAATAAGTTTTTAACGCACATAGTGCTCTCATACATCCACGATCAGTTAGGAGCTAAATTGTGATGGTTAGATACAGGGCGGAGGTCAGATGAAAACACTGCAATCGTGGACCAGGAGCAGCCCTTTTCCACCATAGCTCTGGTTCTTGAACTGGTTCCGTTTACAGTTAATAAATAATCTTCTTATTAGGAATAAACCTCCTCCTGTGTGAACTGTCAGTAGCTGAATAGGGTCGACCTACGCTGCTATGGATTAACGTCGGCCATTATGGTGGTACTTGGAGAGCCTGATAGTTTCTGAGCTGTGAAAAGTTATTATAATGTTTTAATTTGTTGACTTAAAGTTGTATTTTATAGTTTTTAAAGCTATAAATATCGTAAAAAAACATAACAAGTGCGTATGTTTTTAAAATATGTGTAACTCGAGTACTTTCACTGGATATTTGTCACTTTACTTTGTAGTATTTTTACAGTGTCCAATTACTGCTGTGCACATGAAGAATAAATATATTTGTTTGCATGTATTTATTGTGTTTTGTTGGGTTAAAATGTGTCTGTGATTGTGAGCATATCTGTACACACTGTGTGTCAGTGTGTGTTGGGGTTGGGGGTGGGGTGGGGGGGTCATGTGGGGAGTAATTATAAGGTGCTTCTGTTGACTAATGAGCGTTGGGGGGTGAGTGCAGGGGGGAGGACGGGGAAGTCGATCTTTATGCGGTTGGCAGTCAGCTCTAATTTGTTATGATGGCTGCTGGCTTCCCAAAGCTGCAACGGCCGATAATTACACAGCACACACACACGCAGGTACACGCTGATCAACACCAACGTCACGCTAAAGTTCACCGATTTGTTACTATCCCCTGTAGTCCACAAGACAACAGACACACACACACACACACCCAGAAACACAGGTTTGGAGGCAGTTCTGTCAATATCCAACACATCCAGTATGAACCCTGGTGAGTCTGAGACACTGAAACACTGCCCCCTGTCTGCAGCTGTAAGCACTGCACTCACACAGAGAGACCAGTGGTGGAATGCAAAGTATATTTACTCAAATACTGTGCTTAAGTACTTTACTTGAGTATTTTCTCTTTGTGCCACTTTCTATTTCTACTTTACTGCAGCTTTAGTTACTGCAAAAATTAAGCTTTTTGCACACAAAACATGTGAAGAGCTTCTAAAATATGATGTTTAATTATAAATTAAACTACCCAGCAGCATATTTACACATTACAACCAGTGACTGAAATTAACTGTCCTGAATTCTACCTTCTGTCCCAGACTTCACAACCACTGTCCCAAATTTAAGCTCCTTTTTTCGTTCCACACAAAGAATATAGTTTAATAACTTTGTTTCTGTAACTTGCATTACTTCGTTGACTCATTCAAACTATTTACATATAAGCAACAGGAACAACTCAATCCAGACAACCAGAGAGAAAGAGTGAGAGAAGCTCTAACCTGCCCCTGCACATGACCCAAGAGGAGAGGTAGAGACCCCGGCACTGTTGGCTGGGATTACTCTAAGCAGCATGAATGGGAATTAATAACACTAGAACATATTTCTCACTTTTTCTCTGATGGTTTGACTAAGTCACTTAATTTGTTGCTAGTTGCTTTTTAGCATAAAAGTCACTATAACTAACAAAACACTAACAAACCTCCAGTGAATTTTGTAAAGACATAATGAAGAAAACTACTGGAGAGTACGATCTACATTTAGAGTCCTAAGCTTTCAGACACACACAGAAAGAGGTTTCCTACCTGCTGGCATCTGGTCCAGGTTTGAGGCGTCCCTGCGTGTTGGCCTCCCACACGCTGTTGGCGAGCTCGTTGCCAATGGCCGACATGACCTTGATGAGCTCCAGCGGCCACTCGTCCAGGTCCAGAGATCGAACCCTGGACAGGTGGGTGCCCAGGTTCCTGTGGATGCCTGAGCACTCGATGCAGATAAGGGCCCCGAGGTTCAGACTCGCCCAGTCCGGGTCTGGATGAGCAGAGAGGAAGGCCAACGCATTTGTCAGAAGATAATATTGTGCTATGTGGAAAACAAGTTTTTATTGGTGTAAACATCCACAGCATTCTTATGTAGCCGAAGCTAAGAATTCCGGGTGAATGTTGACTCTTTTTTAAACTAAAATACTAAAATAAAACATACTTGTCCACCCATTTAGTAATTTTACTGGGAAAATGTGTAGCGATAACAAAAAACAGTAAAAAACATTCTTCCTCCAGTCCACCCAAATAAACATTGCACTTCACATCGTATATTGATATATTGTCATTCTGGGTGACTTCCGTCGCTGGAGTAGCAGGTATAAATGTTTTATTTATTGAGAGCGGTACTCACTCTGTGCTTCACAGTCGGCACAGCGACCGTTTCCTCGAATACTTCTGATCGTCTGCAGAGCCATGGCCTCCGTCTGGCTGGTCAGACGAGACTGAAAGAAGGAAAACAAACTCATCTCAGGTCACTCGAGTCAGGCTTCCATCCACAGTAAACTGCCGTCTCATGGTGACTGGTAAATGCTTTGTTGTGTCAGACCAACAGTCCTAAACCCGAAGAGATTCCAGTTGTCAATGATATTAAATGACGCAGAAACAAAGAGTTTCAGTTTCTTTTAAAATACTTTTTTTTTAAAACTGAATATGTTTGGTTTTTGGACTTTTGGTCAAAAAAAAAGAAACTTAAATTAGCAAACTTGAGTTCTCGGACTGAATACAGTGAAGATTTTGCTCGTTCTGCAGATTTAGGATGCAGAGTTTTACTGTAATTAAACGTCCAAACAGCACACAAACACTGTCTGAGACACATTCAGGTGTTTACATACACTGAACAGATGGTGGACGTCGCCGCTGTTGCGGGCTAAGTCCACCGATGTTGGGAAATGAAGGAATAAGACAGCAAATAAATGGAAATGGGGGAGGGAGGGGCGGACGGTGTTTTGGGTGGGACGAGGGGGGCAATAAAAGGCCGAGAGCCTGAGGCGTAAACACAGCGGGCCTCGACTGAGAGCAGAGCCGCCTGCTGCATGTGCAGGTGGAAAATGGCAATGCTGAGACTGAAGCTACAGTAATTGCTATTTTGTAATTATGTGAATGAAAGTGTGTTTGTGTGTGAGTGAATGCAGTGACTGAATGTGCATTCAAAGGTCCCATTCCTTCAGTTCTTATCATATCTGACAGTCCTGTGATGCACCGCATTCATACTCTAAATGTATATGATGGCAATTTGTACCGTTTGTAATGTTTAATACTGTCATAATGTGACACCTTTCTGTATGTATTTCTATTGCTTATAATGAGAAATACTCATTTTGTTCTACATGTATGTGTTATTTTACTATGTATGTATAGACTACATATATCTTACATATTTATCTTTCTATTAATACTGAGCAGAGCTTTCAACCTCATCTCATTGGCTTCATCCCTGAATGGCGACATTAGCTCATTTTGGCTACAAACTTAATTTCACGATGAAAAACAAAGGTTGAAAGCTCCAGAAAAGGCCAATAGCGCCTTGAGTTTAAAAGGTCACTTTTATGCTCATGTTTTAACAACTTCATGAGAACACAAACATGAAGACCATCAGATGCTGCTGAAAGTCCTGGAAAACCGGGTAAGTTACCATGAGTTAAGTTTTTTTTTTTTTTTTTTTAAATTAGATTTGATTGAAATTCATTCCATGTTGATTTTATACTTCCAAAAAGCACAGACTCTAAAAATTATACTTGTTCCAGGACTACTGGGAACCACAGAGCGGACTTCAGTGAAGAAACTTGAGATTTAAAGAGTTTGCCAGTATTCACCTTGTTCTTGCTGCTCTCACAGGACTGCAGGCTGGCCAGGATCTGGCTCTCAATGACCTGCACCCAGGCGTCTCTCTCCTCGTACGAAGTCGCCTCGAAATGCCACGTCTGCCCCGTCAGTGACACGATGGTGAACTCAAAGTTCTCCTCTTGTTCTGTTGGAGAGAGAAAGAAAAACCAAGACTTAGTACGGGAACATCCGACACACACCGATCACAAAACTTTACATTCAGCCACATTTCACCTGAGCCATGTGGTTCACGCTCTAATCGGCAGAGAGACGCTCAGCTCAAGGACACTGCAAGAGGGCGGTTTTGAGTTTGTAGGGGGTCACGTCAACCACCGTACCATCTTGGTTTGGCTTCAGCCAATTGCAATAACTTTTAACTTCTCACATCAACACCAAAGTGACATTACGGACTAATTCCATTAATATATCAGAAACCTGATTTCAACAGTTGTTTGAATTGATTGATCACTCGATCGCTGCTGTTCTGCTACTGCAACCTGAAATTATGTGATCAAATACCACACTGATCTGAAGTAAAACAATTTCATGAGCTTCAAACCAAACCATCACACAAAGCAATGTATTAACAATGGAGGCTTAGAACAGCTGATATGGAAACTCAACTATGTTGTATTTCAAGAAGAAGATGCGTTTTCTCCAGTGGCTTCGCTGGAATCACGCCTTTGCAAATGTTCATAGTTCTTGTGTTCGTAATGTCCTTCCACCTCTATTTGTGAGACTAAAACAGTGAATGACTCCAACAACCGACATTAGAAGCAACAACTGGTGTTTTTAAATAAGCATTTCTTGTTCATGGTGTAAAACCAAACCATGTCCAAATACCAACGAACCCCCAAAAACCTTGCCTTTAAAACCACATCCACATGATATAAATCTAAAATAACAGACCCTCATCAAACGTATAAAGTACCAGCGAAGAAACAGAAGTACACAAGCAGCTCTGTCCACAAGCGTCTTTTCATTCATATAAAGCTCTCTGACTGAAGGACACCTGTTCTCCTGAACCGACCACCGGTGACCTATGTGACCCCGCCCCCTGAAGCCAGGATGTCACCCAAATTACGGGGCCCTGTGCCCCCCCTAAGGGCCCCGGACCGTCCTGCCCTCTTCTCTGCTGACATGTCAGTGGGAGAGGTCAGTCATTACAATCAGGGCCTGCTGGAGGGGGGACATATGGATCTATCACCCAGAACCCCCAGAGGTTAACGGGACAATCAGGAGTCAATTAGACTGAGTGTGTGTGACTGTGTGTGTTTGTATATGGCTGTAGAAGAGATTCAAGGTCCTCAACTTCTTTAAAGCAGTTGTAGAAGGTCCGAATTAAAGGTACAGTTCACTCAAAAATTAAACAAACTCCTTTGGAACATAGAGTGTAATCCTTGAATATGACTTCAGAAAGTATATTTTCAATGCAATTTCTAATCATATGAAACAAAGGAAAGCAGCAAATCCTCACAGTGAACTAGAATAATTAAATGATTATAACGGAACATTGACAATAATGTCCTAAAAGTGCTCAAGAAAGTGCAAAAGTTTGAAAACAATGGGACTAAAACTCTGTTAGTTGATGGAGACTGTAGGATGTCGTTGAAAACTCTAGTTAGTAAGTAAGCTAGTAAGAAGAGCTTTGAGTTGAGATCATTTGGTCACACGTACTATTCCCAGGGGCAAGAATGAACATGAATGCTTAAGATTTACTGTATTTTAGGGTAAACTGTCCCTTTTTAAATGCAGCTGTTCAAGCATGCTTCAAACGCTTCAACATCAAGCCAGTTCTCAGAGGTTTGACTGATGTTAGCGAGTGTTTGTGCACAACTTGGGGAACATTTGGAAACCGTTACCGACCACAGAAAGGATGGGAAGTGGAGGTGAAGCGGGGGCATGGCTGAGAGCCCGTATCATCACCGCACCAGATCAGACAACAACCAGCTTCTGTTTACAATTAGCCCCAGTGAGTAGGTAAGAGATGAGGGGAGGGCAGGGGTAATCACTTAATCAAAGGATGGCCTCCAGCACGGCTGATAATTCCCAGGATTCCTAAGTTTCTGCTGCTATGACTCTAAACAAAAGCATGTGAAGAGGTTATATCTCTAAGAAATGTTGTTTCATGAGTGTAAAAGGAAATTAAGCATCATTTATTCACTCCATATTTACATCCAAAACGGCACTGGGTGATAGCAGATCTCAGTGCGGAGGTCGGTAATCATTCATGACACTTTTAGGCGAGCGTTTCTGGAAGCAGCAGTTTCATGACGTGTGCCGGGAGTGAAGCAGTGAAAAGATGAGAGGTTTAATCAGTTGGAGAGCGGTCACGGCCGGCCCGCGAGGGAACGACCATTTGCTCTTCCTCAACTCCAGTCATTTGGCTAATTGGGAGCGTCTCAGAGCACCGGAGCTGAAGTTCCCCTCTGGCTTTGCTCTGGATAATCAATGGCCTTGTCCGAGGAGAGGAAGGACGGAAGGTAAGGATGGAAGGGAGACCCCCGAGGCCCAACGACTGGCTGAAAAACCCTTCCACTTCCAGGATAAAGAGATTGAAAACACCTTTGCTGACCAAAGTTTCCTTTGCTGAAGATAACGCTGGATCATTTTCATCTCTCGGGTGCTTCAGGGTAATGATGGGCTGAGTCTGATTAGTTGATGTTAATTAAAACTACTGTTTACAGGGGCTGGTTAATGGCTCAAGGTTAAACCAGACTTTCATTTTAAATTGTCCATTTCGTCCACAGAAACTATGATGAAAAACATTTGTTGTTGAGGTTTATTCCACGACAAACAACCACCTTTTTCCACAAATAAAACTACTCAAAAACTAAAAAAACTAAAGAGAACCTTATACCCATGAGATTAAGTAAAAAGTTTAAAAACAAAGAACTGCTGAAATGTATATAAATATGTGGGTTTAATTTTAGACCTGAGACGACAGTTTAACATAAATAATAACTCAAAACGTGTTAATCAAGCAACTTCTACATCTGCAGTTTCTGCCTCTTCATAACAGCACTGGACTTCTGTCTTCTGACACTGTCAAAAGCTTTAAGTCTGTCAAACTGCAAAGTCACAAAAAACATCATCAGTCTCCAGATCAAAGTATGACAAAAAAAACCAGCTGAAGTCAGATTTAATGGGTTATCTAGTGCACCTTTACTTCCTACCTTCACACTGAAGGGCTAGGGGTTCGACACATGCCAGAAGTTAAACCGCTGTGTACTGAAATGTGTCTAATGAAGGGCAAACTGTACAGAAAGTGAATGATAATTTTCCAGAGTGTATTTGGAGGCTCCTGGGTCTACACTGGGTGCGTCTTCGTTCTAAATGACAGCCCACCCATCAAGCGCCGGTTGAGCCCTGCAGGGTCAAGAGCAAGAATCCCATCATAATTAAATTCCCATGATTCTCTGTTTTCAGGGGAGGGGGCTTGGCTGCTTGACAATTATGGAAACCAACAATCCAGAAAGGCCCTGCCTCTTCGTAAATTAAATGCTGTTTCTGGATTTAAATGCTGCACGCTGACCCAGCGCACCATGGCGGCTAATGAATAAAATGAGGGGGGCATTAGGCTGTGCAACCAGAGAGCCACTCCCACAACCCCCCGCTTAACTCTGAAAACCCCCAGCTGAGCATGTGCTACAGTCAGCAGCTCATGTCTGTCTGTACAGGAAGACTACCCCAACTTTTTGTAGTAACAATGGATCAGATGGCTGTCTCTAATGTGTTAACAGGGATCTGCGTTTGGAAGGTCACCTGATGGCACTAAATGTAAAGTCACCAAAGTTATTCCAATTCATCCTGAGGGGAATATGATTGTCTGAACCACAATATGTGCCAATCCATCCAATAGTTGTTGAGATAATTCAGCTTGGACCAAAGTGGTGGACCGACCAACTGTCACTGCAATCCATAGAGCCATAAAAAATGACTTTCTTAGCAAACTGAACAGGTCCTTTTTAAAGGTATATTTTCATTAGTGTAGGAATTATTGTGTTATTGTTACCTCAGAATTAACTGTTTTTAATCTACTAACGCTGTGGGTCGCCTTTCATTGAGTCCTTCATGTTTCTACAGAAGCCCAGAACTGACAAACCAGCCAGTGTTTGGCTTTACAGTTTTTTACAAGTTTTGTGGTTTCTCCATTAAATCCTACACGCTGGACCAGAAAAGATAATGTTTCTTGATTCTTCCTTCTTTCTTACAGGCTTCCTCACCTGTTCGGCCTCTCCTCTGTGTTGGTGTGCAGGACTAAACGTATGCATCAGAGTACAAACACACAAACATACGGCGAGTCACCCGCGCTGTATTGGTAATTACTGCCACCGCTCTCGGCTACTGTGGGCGACATTCACACAGAGAGAGGTGGAGCCGAGGCAATTTGTGAACTCTGACACCGGTAACCTTTAGCAGCAGAAACAGAACAAACCAAATATACAGCATTTACAAGACGCAGCGAGGGGGGCGGGGGGGGGACACATGCATACAAGCCTATCATCCGGGGTGTGAGGTGTCGAGTAGGCCCAGCGGGGTGTGTGTTAGATAGTGTGTGTGTGTGTGTGTGTGTGTGTGTGTGTGACAAGCAGGACGGTAGGTGCAATGAGAGGGGAGGCGTGAGGGAGACAAAAGGGGGCCTCGGGAAACACAAATTAAAAGCCTTAAATGTCACCGCACACAGTATTGCTTTGCGACACAGGTCATTACTCCCCATATTATTCGCAGCCTTTTACAACATTAATAACCTGGAAAATATTGCAGCCGATTGTTCTGAAGTCTCTCTGAAAAAGAAGTATGGAGGTCTATCTTTTTGAACGAGCACATTGAAGCAAAAGAAGCCGTGACGTAAAGCAGATTCAATGTTTTAAAGAGTTCGCTCTAGACCTGCTCTATTTGAAAAGTGTCCTGAGATAACTTCTGTTATGAATTGGTGCTATACAAATAAAATTGAATTGAATTGAATTGAATTAAACTGAATTCAAGATGGCTCAGAGATGATTTAACCTGTTTTGTGGTTCCATCATGCAAACAGGCGAAGACCCCAACAGTTTGGCTTTCATTTAATGTAGAATTAGGTTGGAAGGTTGGTAGGAAGATACACTGATCACATCCGAACGGAAGGGCGGGGGCAGAAGGATGCAAGGAGGGAAAGACGCTATCACACACAGGTCAGGTGACAGGCAGTGAGAAGACTGTTCAAAATACGGAAATGGACGTTTTTCTCCACCGCACATGTGTACCAGACACAGACTGAATGAGTAAGCACTGATTTAGGGATTTGCAGGTCAAAAGAAGTCAAGGGCAGATCTATATTAGATCTCTAAGTTACATAAAACTGTTTAATGGGGATTCAATATAGTATTTTTCAGTGTGAGGCTTACTACAGCCACTTCAGACATCCCTGACAATGCTTCTTCTGCAGCTTACATTAAACCCTCCTGGTTGAATCATCAGTTCATTAAGATGAACAACTGCATTAAGAAAATATCTGCTTCTTTGGAAAAAACTTGAAGGTACAAGCTAAAAATCTGCAGCTTATATCAATTAACTTTTCATTTTTGGGGAAATTTGGGGATCAATTTGGAAACTTTTTGACTTCTTTTTCATCACAACAATGTATATGCAATTTATTTAGAGCCGTCTGTTGTGCAGATATGATGGACAAAGCAACAGCCCAAGCTTTTATTTGCTTCAATGACTCAACCTGCCTTTATTTGGAACAGGCCTCTATATGGGACAGGGTTTCAATTCCTTTTGCAAAAAACTCTTGTTCAACAAAGATGGGAAGTTTATACATTTATATTTGTGTAGGTGATCTAAGCAGCATACAACTCGCTCAAGCAGACTCGGTTTTATACATCCAAAGAAATTCTATAAAATACAGACTAGGCCTCTAATTAAAACATGCTTTTATTTGTCAAAACTTCTAGCCACACCAGGCTATTAAAGGAGCGCTGCGTCTAATTGGGAACCTGATTTTAAATAAAGTTTTACGGTAATTAAAACTGGTGGTCAGAACATAAATGTAAAGGATCGTAATGTAATCTAGGAGAGCCCGGTGTTCACAATCTTTTGTCCTGCTAAAATAAAAGTATGTCTACATGTGATTTCTTGTCACAGGTTGTGTATGTTTACACTGTTTGACTCAAGCGCTGTGTGTTTGTAATCTTGTTGATCGTCTGATGTTCCATTAGTTTAGACGTCTTTCACACTGAATATATCCTAGTTTTATCCTGAATGTTTAGACATCTTTTGACACTGAAATCAGCAAATGGCTGCTTACTTGGGTAATGTGCATTACTCCAGGACAGGGTACTCTGTCCCTGCAGAGGGTGGGGTCAAAGGGGGGTTAATGGGCGTCCACAGGTCCACCCCCAGCAATGTTTTTACCTTCTGAGTTGTGCAGACTGTTGGCGTAAATGCTGCGAAGACTATCGACACGATTAAGTTTCCACGCTTTACGTTTGGCTGCGTCCCCCGACGGCAGGAAGAGAGAAAAGAGGGAGACAATAGGAGGAGGAGGTAGAACAGAGCGAAAGAATGAGACGACATGTACAAGAGAAAACAAGAAACAGAGGAGGAAAGAGAGAGAGAGGCGTCAAAAACAGCAGCGTGGAGGAGGATTGGTCCACAGGAGAGGGGGCGTGGCTTGATGTGGAAGTGGGAGGGGCTAATGAGCACGATGCAGGGAGGAAGTAAGTTTGCAACATAACAAACGAGCCCAGAAGAGCAACAAAAATAAAATTCTCAAATCATCAAACAAAAATTCCTTCAAATGTATCACAATTCAAAACATTATTACTCCCCATCGTCCTGACACAAACAGCCAAAGTTAAAACAGACTCAACATTTGATAACAATTAACACCATAAATCCTCAAATGAAAGCCTGTGAGAAGTTGTGGAATTACTTACAAATTGTTTTCTTTAAAACATTTTTTCAATTTCGCTTCCTGCAAATCTTTCACATTAAAAGCAATCTGGCAAAGGCAGGAATTCAGAATTTCTGGTGAGCTTTTAATGTGAAACATCAGTGCAGGAAGTGTTGACTCCACTTAACAGTCATCAACAAATCTGTATATAAAAGTTATATATCTCTTATCTCTTCTACTTCTATTATATCTTGTATTTAATTTTTTACTGTATGTGTATTTTCTTATCTTTCTATACGATTGTAGATGGAATATCTTTGAAGAGTTGCATTGTGGGAAAGTGTGATGGACATTTTTCTACTCACTGCAGGTGTAAAATGAGTAAATATCATCCGTGTGCAGAAAACACTGAAACTTCACATTAATGTGGATTTTAAGGCTCCACCGCCGCAGCTTTGATTCTTTTGAGGTGGCTGAGCTGCGAGCTCTGTGACCTCTGACCCCGGCCGCGCCGCTCAGTCTTAAACAGCAGAGCCTGGGTAATATTTACTCCCCCGGGGCTACTGCGAGCATTTGCAGAGGATGAAATACAGTCGTGGCTGTGTGAGAGGAGAGGCTTTAAATGTTACTGTGCTTGTTTCCCTCGTCGCCCCTCCTCCTTCGGGACGGCAAGGCGGCGATAAGCGAGGACGGTTTGTCCGTTTTAAAACGAGTCAAATACACTGAAGCTGCTCGCTGCTGTGGGGGGGCTGATCTCAGGAACGTTATCATCTAAAAACAAGTTGCTTTAAAAAGGTCACAGGTTGGATCCCCTCACAGATCACAGCAGGTTTTAAACACAGTCATTGTTGTAATTTGCCAAAAAATGGGATGTGGAAAACTAAAACAGAGATGTTAAAATACTTGTAAAACTAAAAATAGAAATATTATTGTGTTTGTCTGCTTATAGTATGTTGTTTTTGTCCCGACAGATCTAACAAATCCTTCTTGTTTTATTTTGAAAGAGCAGTGGAGGTACAACTGTACCATACCATGTATTTCTTTTTTCCTCCAACCTATGTTATTACATATGGGAGTCCAGTAAGTAGATACTAAATCATGCCCACAAAGGTAAATTTAACTCAATGGTTTCATTTTAATTTCTTTATTAAATAATTTAAAAGTACTTCAACAGGTTTTGACCCAACTTAAACATCTCCTGACGTCAGGTGTTCATTGGACCACCTGGACTCCCCTCTACACTGGCCCTCTTTGTTTCCCACCTGCTTGACCCCCGGTGACCTGAATTGACCTGCGATGGCGAGCGGAGTCCGTCATCTTCCTGATTAACTCCGACTTTAAAGGAGCTCCCTCACAATGAGCCAGTCAGAGGCGGCGTGCTGCAGGTGCGCCGCCGAGCTGACGGCCGATCGACAAACGGACCGACGAATACTGGAATGAGTGAAGCTCTTCAGCTGAGACACCCAGTGTGTGATCTGAGAGGGCAATTAAAGCCAGCCACACACACACACACACACACACACACACACACACACACACACACACACACACACACACACACACACACACACACACACACACACACACACACACACACACACACACACACACACACACACACACACACCACCTGTTGTGAGGAGTTTGCTGGTCGAGGAATCAAAGCAAACACAAAAACTGTCTTCGCGACCTGGTCCTGCTGTTACCTGTGTGAGGCCACTTCAAATATCTGAAGCTGTGTGTGTGTGTGTGTGTGTCATTATTTTGCAGGTCAACTTTCAAAGCTCCAAGATGAAGGGAGGGTATCAAACAGTGGCTAGTTAACGAGACCCGTGGTCAGCAGGCTTCACCTGATACAGGTACAGCTGTTTAATTAAACATATTTAAACTGTAAAACCAATTGCAATGATCTATAAATCCAGGTGAACTCTGCTGTTATACAAATAATCAGGCTTACATTTACAGCAGAGTGCTGTTATTACTTTTCTGATTTGAATGTGAATGTTAAAAGTAATAGAACTGTAATAAAAGTCATTATCTGTGAAATTACAGTAATTATTGCTGTTTACACTGATAACAACTGTATTTGGACAGTTTACCTTATACACTGATAAACAACATGATTACACAACACTATATTTTACTGTTAATGTCAGTAATTTTACATATTGTTATAAACTTGAATTTAACAGTTTAATAAATTAAATAAATAGTAAATATTTGTAAATGTATTTTAATCTTTGTGGAAAAATAACATTTCCTTTAAATAAGCATTTTATGACTTTTCGTGTCATTTTACATTAAACATTTAAATTCACAGGATATCTTTGTAATTTATTATTATTTAAAAAAAACAGAAAAAATCTGTAAAATATTTTTTTATTACTGATTTAATGTGAAACATCAGTGTGGGAAGTGTTGAGCCTCAATGACTTAACAATATAGTGTACAAGCATCTTATTTATTTATTTATTTCATATTATTTGATGTATTATATATAATATTATATATATTTTCTCCTCCGTCGCTGTCTGTGTTTCCTCGATGTGGGATCAATAAGTTTATTACTGCCAGTCTTATACACAAGTAAGTGCTGATGTTTCAGTCAGGATTCTCTGGACGGAGTCGCAGTCATTCAGGCCGAAGACTGTGATGAAGACGAGGAGAACGCCATCCTGTGTGTGTGTGTGTGTGTGTGTGTGTGTGAGTGTGGTCCTACCTGGGGGAGCTCGGACCGCAGAGGGCGGTTCCCCCTCATGAATTACCCCGAGCCTCGCTCTGACACGAAGATACTTCACCTGCCCGCCCAGCGTGACAGCTCGGCGAGTCGACCCGCCGGCCGAGTGCGCTCAGTGCTTAATGGCTAAATTGGGAAGACTGTTACTAATCGCTTATTGAATAATGAAAGTGACACAGCTGATAAAAGATTTCAATACGGTGGATTATTTATAATATTTCACTTAAGCCTCTCCGGCTGACTAATAGGGGGGCGAGTCGAGGGCTCGGGGAGAGCGTTTGATAATAAAATGGTCAGAGAGGAAGAGGAGCAACTGCACGCACTCCTGATAGTTAACTACTAGACGAGTGGAGAGAAAGAGGCGGAAGAGAGAGGGAGCAAGAAGGGAGGGGAAAAGGAGGCGAGGATGAGGAGCAGGAAAATTAAGAAAGATGAGAAATAAGAGATTAAACAAGGCAGTGGGGAGAGGAGGAGAAAGGGAGGGAATATAGAGGAGAAAGACGACAGGAAGCAAAGGATTGAAAAGACAAAGAAGAAAATGTTATTTGAAAGAGGAGAAACAACACGATAAAGGACAGAGGAGAGAGGAGAGGAGAGGAGGAGAGAGGAGAGATGAAAGCAGATGAAGCGTCTATCAGTCACTCAGACGGCCACTTGCCTTGTCAGCTGCTTGATGCCTCCGTGATGGAGTGACGCACATTACACATCTGCTGCTGCCGCCACATCTGTTCAACCAGCCATAGTGTGTGTGTGTGTGTGTCTGTGTGTGTTGACAGTCTGTGAGAGTGTGTGTGTGTGTGTGTGTGAGACAGTGTGTGTGTGTGTGTGTGTGTTTGTGTGTGAGTGTGTGTATGTGTGTGTGTGTGTGTCGTACTGAATCAAGCAGAAATCTGAAGACGACGGCAGCAGATCCACGTCTTTTACATCAGCTGCTACCAGCGACCTCAGGCTCTGCGACGTGTTTTAAACCTGCATTCTCTGTAACGGCCAGCAGGGGGCGGCTCCACTGGTTGCAATAAAACAGACACCATACAGTCTTATGGAGAAATGAGCCGACTTCTCAGTTGATTGATGAGCTCAGTAAATAGTTTCCGGATGAGTTTCTGGTCTCAGTCTCTAGTTTCAGTCTACTTCCATACAGCATGATGTTCATTTAGTAACTGATTGTCAGTCTCAGGTCTGCTCTACGGATTGCAGCGTCGACCACACGGCGAAGGTTATGTTACAAACTGATTGACAGTCACAGCAGAGACAGATAAGAAGAAGACCATCCAACAGGGTGAAGAGATGAAGGGCTGACAGAATGAGAGGATGAGGAGATCCGTCCCTCACAGCGGAGTTCGGGAGTCTCAGACGATCACATGACTGCGTTTCCCAACCCTGGTCCCAAACCAACAGCAGCGGTTTCCTTCTCTTTAGACTTTAACGTCAGAGAATATAGTTTATTGGGCTGTAAACATATTAAATATATTTAAAGTTGGAGGGGAACCTTTGATAATAAAGAAAGTTTAACTTAAAAAATAAGTTATGATAAAACCATTACGTTTATTAAGACGTATATTAGAACTCACCTAAATCGATAGATAACTGGACATAAGATCATATGTATATAGTCGTAAGTTTAGAAGCATTTGGAGGTAAATCGGCAGATATTTCAGTATATAAACAGTTATATATAGATATATATATATATATCTATATATAAATATCTGGCAGTACAGTGTACAAGCACATAAAGAGAAGATAGAAGTATTTGAAGTATAAAAGTAAACAGAAGTTCACAGATAACTGGAAGTGTATCCTGTCAGGTTCGCTGGTGTTTGGTCGTATCTGAATGGATTTTATTTTGACGTCTGTGAACGTCAGACTTGTTTTGGGGGTTGGGGGGGTGGATTTAGCTGTCGGACCTGGGCGGGGAAAGTGTGAGGCGAGGGGAGGGGAGATGGTGTTACCTTCCGCAGTACCAGAGAGGCCGTCGGCTTTGAAGTTGCTGGTGCTCTTCTTCCTCCGGTGCTTCTTGCGGTTGGCGTGCGGCGACGGCGGCGGCTCCATCTTGGGACTGGTGGTGCTGGAGATACTGGGACTGGAGCAGACCGAGTCTCCCAGACCTGTATCTGGAGATCCAATAATTCAGTATTAGTACATTATTATATAAATTAGTTATTTGAAAGTAGTTCATTTGGAATTATGTAATCTTTTTATTGTATATGTTTATTGGTTTTTATACACTCAGAGAGGAAGTCTAATGCTCTTCACAATAAAAGTCTTTTAACTTGTGAATCAGAGACAGGAAGTGCTTTTCTTTACACTTTAAACTTTCATTCAGCACAGAGCAGAAAGATGATGTGATCCAGCTGTACCTGTTACCTACAAGTAATTACTTTTAAATAAACCGTTCTATATTTCTGTGATGTTCTCCAGGTTCTTCTCTTCTCGTTGTTGATTTCTGTATAAAAACCTGAATCAGTCTGTTAGTGGATGAATACAACTGGGCCAATATCAAGAACCAGAATCAGGATGAGAAGTGATTCCCAGTCCGGGTCTGGAGGATGAGGGCTGGCGGGGGCGAGCGAGGCTATCAGCAGAGGGAGTCTCTCTCTCTCCCTCTGCCCTCCACTCTTCACGGCGCCCGCTGACAGCTGTGACTAGCGGCAGAATAAAATAACATTCAGCTTCCATCAATATCACAGCGTGGCGGCGACACTGACATGGGCGCGCACGGAGATGGAAACACGTGTGCACAAAACACACACGTATACACACTGGGCGCTCGTTGGCCGCCACCGCCGCCGCGTCCCCCCGAACGGCAGACAGCCCCAAGGACGGCCATAACTTATTTTACAATCGTTTAGTCTCAGCTCAAGTGGAAAATGTGACAACTTATCTCTGCTGACAAGATGCCATCCCCGAGAGTGCAATTAACCGCCGTGGATTAACGGCCCTCCCATCTGCACGCCGCGCTCTATCCACGTCACCCCCACCCCCTCACCCACACTTCCACCCTCAGCCTCAAGACATCCTCCTCCTGCTTCACTTTCCCTCCTCTGATCAGCTCTCCTGGTCCGGGTCTCGTCTCTGGTGGGGCTTCTCCTCGACCACGGCAGTCAGGGCTTCCTGTCTGCTGTCAGGTGAGACGCAGCAGCTTCAAAGTAAACTGAAATCCCGGTTTAATGCAGCGTACGCTTTATTTTGGAGAGATTACTTTACAGATCTGTCTCTTCCTGTCAAGCGATAATTATCTTCTCCTGTGTAGAGACTATCGCTGCTCACTTTCAGCTCCAGCTCCACATAGAGTGATTTAGTTTTAATTGTTGTATTTTTTTTTTCTGTTGTACCAAAAAATTGAGACAACTTCTGCAACTAACTGAACACCACTCGTGTCTGTATTTGGTGAGCTGGGAATGAGAACGGTCTGTGAAGTGTGGAGGAGAAACTACGGCCTAAAAGCCTAAAAAGGCTGATATCTAGAGCTAGTGTTTGGTTTGTCCCTTCTGGGCTACTGTAGAAACATGGCAGTTCAACATGGAAGTAAAAACAAGGAGACATCAGATGTTTCTGGTCATCCTGGTGTTTAGACACTTACAGGTTTAAATCTTATTTGGGCATAAATGGAGCTGCAGTCTGACGAAACAAACTGTAACTGAACTGACTGCTGTGTGTGTGTGTGTGTGTGTGTGTGTGTGTGTGTGTGTGTGTGTGTGTGTGGCCCCTGGGAGTCCATTGAAAGCATTTCACAGCTTTAAACGTTATTTGAGGAAGGCTGGAGGGCACAACACTGACGACAGAGCTGTCAGTCAAGCTTATCGTCACGGCAACACACACGCACACACGCGGCCTGACAGCTGTCAGTCTCAGCATCTGTGTGTGTGTGTCAGTTTTACCTTATCCTAAGACATTACACACACACACACACACACACACACACACACACACACACACACACACACACACACACACACACACACACACACACACACACACACACACACACACACACACACACACACACACACACACACACACACACACACACACACACACTGCCCATTAGCCTGACAAACAGTTCAGGCAGCATTAGAGGTCTGGCAGGCGGATCAATGGGAGACAAATGATAGGCTCCCCCGCGGAGCTGCGCGCTGAGGCCTTTTGAACCCCAGCAGGCTGTAGCAGTGGAGCTGCGCGTGTGGACCACAACACATTCAGTGTGTTTACACATAAACTTTTACTTTGTTTTTGTTTTTTACCTGTGCTGACTCCAGAGTTGGCGATGACTGTGGCGTCGGTCCACTGGTCGGCGCTGGAGACGGAGTACGAGCGCTGGTGCATCCCCTCCAGGCCACGGCTGTTAAAGGACACCAAGCTGACGCCGCTCGCCATCTGAGAGACCGACGAGCTGCTGGTCACCGAACCTGAGAGAGGAAGTCGGGTTTAACACTCGAGTCTGACAACAGAATAAACTGACACAAAATAAGACTTGTAAAGCGACTTAATCATCCAGATTTTAACTCCTAAATATCAAACATGTTTGAAAATGATCAGGGCATTAGCGTTTTGTGTACGTAGAGGGAGAAGACGTCTTTTTAAGGATTTTAAAGTGGACAAATCAGATCATAACGTTATTAAAGGAAGTTTAAAAAACTAAACAGGAAGTGGAACAAATGATCATCTCTAAAGTTAAAGCAACAGCTGCTGTCGTCTTCTTTCATTTTATTAAAAATATCTTTTAATGTTACAACTGGACGTGTTGTCCAATCACAGTCAGCCATATAACACACACACACACACACACACACACACACACACACACACACACACACACACACACACACACACACACACACACACACACACAGGAACGTGAGGGGGACCATAAAAGGCAGCTTCTTACAAGCTGGCTGCTTAAATCAAACCCTTGAGTTAGTAAGAGGCTGCGTGGTCCAACAGCCGGGTGAATCATCCCTCCCTCCCTCCCTCCCTGCCTGCCCCCCTCTCCCTCACCCCTCCCCTCCCTCCGTCCCTGCCTCCCCCTTCTCCCCTCCCTCCCTCATCCTCTCATTACAGCTCATTTCTTGGTGCTGGCTGAGTGGAGCCAGGACTCTGATTGCATTAATATTCATGACAATAATTAGTACATGGAGTACGGCTCACTGAATATTCATGCTATTAGCTCGGGCCTCCTGGATCCCAGTGTGTGTGTGTGTGTGTGTGTGTGTGTGTGTGTTTGATTTAGCCGCCTCATAAGAGCTGCTTTTATTTGTGTGTGTGTACGACATGGAGGAGCACTTGTTTCTCTCCACCTTTTGTTTTCTGCCGTTTTGTGCATTCCAAGGCTGAACACACACTCTTCTTTGAATCTTTTCAACCTTTATTGATCAACGACAGACAAAAAGCGCTCGTGTTTCTGACACTGCATCAAGAGCAGCAATTACCACCACAACTGAAAACATTAAACGTCGGCATAATCGCAGCTTATTCCTCGACAAAAACAAACAAAAAACTGCGTCCTCTCACCTGGAGTCTGTCCGAGCTGCAGGCTGCTCATGTCCTTCGTCAGGCCGTTGGTTTTGGGACTCGGCACGGCGGCGCAGGTGGACACGGCACGAGGAGGCCTCTTCCCCGGCACCTTCACTGTGGTCCTCAGGAGGTCGATCTCCTTACCGTGGACGTTCTGCATGTAGTCCTGAGAGAGAGAGAGAGAGAAACAGCAGGTAAACCTAAAGGCCAGCAGGGGGCAGTCTCTCTTGATTCAATAGCTCAGTGAACACTGATGAGTTTAGGGTCTTAATCTGTAGTTTCAGTCTTCTTCCATACAACATGATGTTCATTTAGTAAACGATGGTCCCATTAAGAGTACAACAACATGGCCGCTGAAACTTGTGTATAAACAGGAAGTCTGGTGTGATTCTAAAAAGCTGCTGCACACTATAAAACACCAGATAATTTAAATGTTCTTGATTTGATTTTTATCTATTCAAACTGAGTATTTAGACTTCTTTCAAGAGTGTTACGATCAAAGAAATGAAAACAGGAATTAAAAGCAACCAATCAGACAACAGTCTGCATGATTAGATATGATTCTCATCTGAATGTACTTTAAAAGCTCTGAATTCAGATAAATAATTTTTAATTTTTTAAATAAAACAAAGATAAAAGAATGAATAACACAACAGAGTGAAGTTGAGCATCCTGAGTGTGTCACTGTTTGCTCGGAGGGAATTAATCTCATAATAAAGCGGCTAAATCCTCAAATTGTACAACGGAAACAAAGACACACTAATCCCTTAAAGTAGCGATGAAGTGGCGGACCACGCCAATTCTGATTGGCTCCGCCCGTTCGCCAACACGCCTGAAACACGACCGACCGCTATGGGACGCCTCGGACGCCTCCCGATGATGAGCCCTCCTCGGGTCCAAACGGGGCGGATCAGAGAAGTCGATGAAAAGACGAGTAGGAGTGTTAATGACGGACGAGAGGCGCTTGTTAAATCCACCCCCCCTTCCCTCTGAGCGGGGTGGAGTGTCAGCGGTGACCCCTGAGAGGAGCAGGGCATTGTGGGAGGTCGGCCTCCTCTTCAACATTAAGGTGGCGAGGAGAAACAAAGCTCACACAACCCGCTGGGCCGGATTAAAACCACCAAGTCTGTGTAATATGTGTGCTACTGGACTGCTATCTTTGTGAGGACATTTCTATAAAGCGAGGACAGAATATTATTGAAAGTGAAGTTTAGTATTTTTTTATTACAAAATGAGGAAATCTCACTTCTTTAAAAGGCTTTAGAATGAATTATTGGATTATTTTAAGCGTTGTGTTTGAGAAGGGCGGCTTTATATCAGTGACAGTTGTTCAAACGTGTGTTAAAGTAAAGATAAATAAAGTCCTCGCACACACTGAACTCCCAATACAAACACTGTTACACCTGTACACTCGTTAGGACCCTCGTTAGGACCCTCGCTGACATGATACATTCCCTGAAATTAACCTTCACCTAATTACAACCTTAAATCTGGACCTCAGTCAGCCATTTAAAGGACCGAAACCGTCCTCACTTTCCAGCTCTCAAACTCTAATTGGTCCTCGCAAAGATGGAATTACTTGAGCACACACTTATAACACACACACACACACACACACACTCAGTGTTTCCCGCCTCCCTCTGGCAGCTCGGCTGACAAAAGGCCAATTCAAAGCCAAGTGCTCTCGACGGCGTCTTAACAAGCCACCGGAGAGCCCTCGAGCCAGGGGCCCGCTGGGTAAACCCTCCACACACACACACACACACACACACACACACAGACAGACAGACACACACAGACACACACACACACACAGACACACACACACCCCTCCGACAGATTGACCGAGGTAATTGAGTCTCCATTTGCATCAGGGAGCTTTCATCATCGGCCCGATCGTCCACGCCACGCAGCGACGTCCAGGACGGATGTGTGTATCGACCAAACACGCCGACAGCAGGTGGTGTGTGTGTGTGTGTGTGTGTGTGAGAAAATGAGTCTGTCGGCTTACGAGTGTCGAAGAAAGGAAGTGTGTTTATAGCCGTGTAAGAGTGTGTATGTAAATGTGTGTGTTCAGCCGGTATAAATGGACGCATAAACGCCGGCGTCAAGGGTGAAAAATGCAGCCGCGACCGGAGAGCCGAATACTGCTGACGGCGAGGGAAACACGGATCCATAAAGAGCGAGCTCGACCACGATCGATGGATAAAGAGGCGACGGGAGATGGAGGAGGAGAAGAAGACAGGAAACATTAAGTAGGAAGTGATGAAGGTGACGGAGGTGTAAAAATGGATAAAAGAGACAGTGGAGGTGTCATAACTTAAAGAACACGGCAGTTTGTGTTGGAGCTCGTTCCCAAACTTTATTTTATGGATATTTCATATTATATTCAATAATAACAGAAACAGCAGTTTGTTTATCCTGTTTAGATGTTAAATAATAATCTAAACGTTAAAAATATCAATTTCATTTAGTTTTCTTCACAGAAATGAATGAAATGCTGAGATACAGACCTACTGTGTAGAGCTTTCTTACACCCCTTGAGATCAAAAAGGCCCTGGGGAAAAGTTTGGTGACCCCTAGTGGGGGTCCCGACCAGTGATGGAGGTTAATATTAGTCTGTTTTATTTTATTGAGGCTGAAGGAGTGTGAACCACAAAACTGTTATTGAATATTTCTGTTAAGATTCAGACAGAAAACTGTTTTTAATCCTTGAAATAAAATAAATACAATCACAGTAGAGTTGTGTAGTGTATTAGTGGTTTTATATACATACAAATATTATATATATTTTGGTATATATTATAAGCATTTGTTTATAATTTTGTTAAATATTCTCATGTTTTTTACTACTTTTTATGCCTTTATTTTTAAGGACAGCTGAAGACATGCAGTAAAGGCCCCTTATGCTATTTTAGTTTTCCATTATATTATTGTTAATTTTTTATTATTTTTAAATAATCTGACTGATGAAGATGAGGAGATGCAGCTGAAAGGTCAGAAAAAGCAGATAAGTGGACCTTGAGTTGAGCTTGTTTTAATCAGAAAATACAGCAGTGCTGAAACAAATAGCTGATAAACTGGATCATAAATCAATAAACTTGTATTGTTGTATTATAATTGATCATTAAAGCAGAACTGAACCATTTCTTCCTTTAGGGTTCACCTGCGGGGGAGGGCGGAGCTATGCTGCCGTTCGCTTTAACGTCACAAGTTGGAAACGAAGCAGATAAAAACCTCCCGCCAGGACGCGCTGCGCTCTCTCCTCCTGCACAAACCGCCGCTTCTCTGTGATCATTCAGGCCTCCGTTAATGACGACTCGGCGCTCAGAACCTCGGCGGTGACGAGAGCCGATAATTACTCCCTCGCCTGTGTTTTTGGCCCGATCTTCTTCACTTTGGAGGAGACTTTTTCTTTGCCAATTAGGTGGCATCTATTGCCATCCACTTAATTAGCGGCATTAATGTGATTTCCTTGCACATAGTCGGGCAATTAGTGGCGCTGATTGAGTTTCATTCGATTAGCCTCCGCAAACACGCTAATTGACGCCTGAGCTGCAGATGCAACGCGCTCAGGAAAACCTGGCTTTTTGGTGCTGGAGGGGCTTTGTGTGTCTGCGTGTGTGTGTGTTTGTACACGAGTGTGTGTGTTGAAGTGTTAAGTGATGAGTTTTAACACTAATTTACTGCATCAGCTGCTCTAATCGGTGACGGACGTGTGCAGTTTGGTGAAGTGTTTCACAGTGTGGGGACACCGACACCGACAACGCCCCCCCCGCAGCTGCCTTGCTCAAACCCCAGTGTCGTTTATGTCCCAGTATTCATCATGTTATTCATCCACTTGTTTCAGTGTGATCAAACTGTTGATCAACTGGTTCCACAGAGAAATAAGCAGTAAAAATGTATGAGTATGAAACATTTGCTGCTTCTGGATTCTCAAATCTGTAAATGTTTCTGTTTTTCTTCGTCTTGTGTAACAGAAAAGTTAATATTTTCATCTGTTAGTGGGTCAGAAGAAGCAATTTTAATTTTATGAACAATGACTTAAACAGGAAGTCAATCCAAGTTACAGCAATGGTATGAAGACATTATCTTCTGGCTCTGTTATTCAACACAACTTTTACTCTGAAAATCTAAAATTGAATGAAAATTAGATTAAATTTTGTAGAATAAAAACTTAATTAGAAAAACATTATTGATAAATTAAGTTTAGTCATTTGTCAATAAATGTGGAGAAAACCTGTCGAGAGCACAAGACACAGAGAGAAATTCAGCACAAGGAGAGAAAGAAAAAGACACAAAAAGTGTGTGTGTGTGTGTGTGTGTGTGTCTGTGTGTGAGATAATAAAGCAGTGTCGGGGCAGGATATTGTGCCAACAGGGCAGAGAGCCGGGGCAATTAGCAGAGACATTACAGCTGATATTCACATCATCAACGCCGACGTGGGCAAACAGATGACGAGTCCTAATTAATACACAAGCCATCAACACTGTGTGTGTGTGATGCCAGAAACTGCTTGGCCATAACACACACACACACACACACACACACACACACACACACACACACACACACACACACACACACACACACACACACACACACACACACACACACACACACACACACACACACACACACACACAGAGGAGGGAGATGAAGAGCAGCAGATAGATGGAGGTCAGTGCAGGCTGGCACAGTGCTGGAGTCTAATAAGCAATCAGAGAGGGTTAGTAATGAGTGTGTGTGTGTGTGTGTGTGTGTGTGTCTGTGTGTGTTTGTGTGTTTCTTACATGCAGGCTGGGGTGGTAGGTGAGCAGTCCGTTGTCACACAGCGTCACGTACTTCTTCTTCCACTCCTTGTTGAGGGATTTACCGCTCCTCTTCAGCAGCATGCCCTGCAGACAGAACAGGTGTTTAACCCACAGCTTGACACTTTAAACCTAATCAAACACAATATAATCACAATATATACCATCAGTTATTCAGCTTTTTGTATTGTTTTAACAGAGCTGCTGAGGGTTGGCTCATAGTCGTTGAGATCAGGACTCCAAATGGATGAAGGTCATGTATGAGGAACCAACTAGCACAACAGTAAATAATGGCTATTTTTATCATAGTTTTAAGTTGCCCAGAGGTGTACTTACAGGTGTCCACTGCCTTTATATGTGTTTATACTATGTATTGAAATTCTTGCTATTAGAATTAGAAATACTCCATACATAACAGGTTTAAAACCAAATGGGAAAGAAACAAATATAGTACTGTATGCAGACGATGCAACGTTTCTTTCTAGATACTTGATTTAAATCTTATTCTCCAAGTTTTCTGAATTGAACCAAACTTAACAGAGTAGGACCGCTGAGAGGTACAGACAAATGGACCAACTTTCTTTTAAATGGTTTGAACAAAATTTGTCCTTTGGAATAAGCCTGAGGATATCTCAAATCAGTAAGAGCACTTGTTTAATCTAAAGTGTCATAGTAAGCTGAAGCTGAAGACACGGGTGTCCACATACTTTTGGCCATACATCACACAGAGTCTGAGTTTCATTGTGTCCTATTTGTGCATTTTTACACAATCTTGATCCTTTGATTCTGCTCTTTGTGCACATTGGAGCTAAATTACATTCGGAGGCTTCGGAGCGAAGATAACGAGCTTATAGCCAGAAGACGGATTAAATAAGAGCTCATCTCTCCACAACAAAACATTTTAACGTCAGACATTTGCACCGGAGCTGAAAGGAGCTGGATGTAAAGCAGCGAGAAGAGAAAAGATGGAGGGAAATCAGCAGTTATTTAATTGTCCGACTCGTTTCTTTTTCTCCCTCTCTCTCCTACGCACATCAGCTGCGGCTGACTGACCGTTTAGGCCGAGCGACCGCCCGCTCGCCCGCCCACACTTCATTTGAGCCGGATTCATTAGGTTAGAGAGAGAGAGAGCAAGAAGGTCAAAGAGAAAGCGAGAGAGAGGGATCGAAATGGGAGAAAGAAGAGAGATCAAAAAGAGAAGAGAAGGGGAGAGAGGTAGGGGGGAGAGTGGGAGGCGGCGGCGGGGGATAAAACTGTCCGCTGATTAGCAATTACAGCCGTGCTGCCACGCGTGTCACTTCACTGGACCTCTACAACATTAACACTCCGACAGAGGATATTAATAGAGTCCAGCCGTGAAGGGAGGAAGGGGGGGAGTTAGAGGCACCACTGAAGAAGAGGGGGGGGGGGGGGGAGGGATGGACAGGCCGGCTGATGGACAGAAGCCTGCTCTCCGCCCGCACCGACCGCTCAGCTTTCATTAAGGCGGTCGGTGGTGGTGGGACAGAGCGGCAGGCCCGGGGTCACCCTCGCCGCCAGTGACGGCACATTCGGTGTAATTGGCGGTGACATAACGCCAGGAAGGAACGCCTCAGAGTGACAAAGAGGGAAGTCGAATGCGGGCGGTGGTGCAGGAGCCACGGAACAAATGAAACAAATCTGTCTACGTCTAAAACATCGTCCTAAAATAGTGTAAAAAGTGAGACGTTTGACAGCAAATCATCCATTGACACAAAAGAACATCTGGAGAAATTAAATATACTTTCTCTGTGTTCCTCTGAGTGTACGGGTGCAAAAACATGTTGAAACACACGGTAGAAACATTTGTCCCGCCCGGTGTTGGAATCCTTACGAATGAAATACAGCCACACTTTAAACTGTTTAGCTCAGCATTTTAACCATGATTAAGGTAGCTATGAGCTAGCGGTAGGCTACCTGCAGCCAGAGCCATGTCCACAGAGAGTTGCCATAACGTTAACTAGCGATGGCAAAGTGCGGTGAGGCCTCTGTTGCCTGTAACACCTGCACCAGAGGGCAACTATTTCCAGGGACAGCTCCGACATCTGCATGATGTCCGGTAACCAACCGTAGAAGTCAAGGCCAGTCGATTTGGTCCAGATTGAAATATCTCATCAAATGTTTTATACCGACATTCATGTTACCTTCAGGGTGAATTCTACTGTATTGGTCCCTGAACTTTTCCGCCATCATCAAGTCAGAATTTAAAAAACGGACACATTCCCATCACCCTCAGCTGCACTTCGTGTTTAGTGCTAATTAGCGAATGTTAGCATGCTAACACACTAGAATACGATGTCAACTAAGGTAGATATTATGCATTTACTGAAAGTGCCTTATACCCCAGGGGGCCGTATCCACAGGCCTCAGCAGACTCCACCAGGGTTGGCTGCAGACTGGCTCGGCCAAACTGTTGTGTCTCTCAGGGACTGAAATTAATTCAGTGAAACCGCCATTTAAACGTCATTTAACCAACTCAAACTCACATCTGCTGCATTAAAGTTGTATCAGTCTTCTTTAAAACAGCCCAGAAGGACGATCACTACATTATCATGCTCTTTAATGAAAACAGAAATATGGAAAAGATTCAGTCCTTTTCTAGTTATGACACCTCTAGTTTCGAGCAGTAATGTTCGATATTTAACAGACCAATGCCTGTGAAGCTCTTTATCATCATTAACTAATAAAAAACATCAATAATGGTGAGGAATAACAAGAGGAAGAACGGTTTGCCACCTATGGAGAGGCAAACTTTAAGAGCTGCTCATCTAATCGGATGCAGAAGAAGTGTAGCATCAGTTACAGCCTGATAACAGAAAACACGTTGTTCTACATCTGTAGAGCTTCATCAGGCCAGTAATTTTGCAGCGTTTCCACTAATTTGAGCTTGTGTCAGGAGGAAGTAAAGCAGAGCAGTGTGTGTGTTTGTGTTTGTGTGTGTGTGTGTGTGTGTGTGTGTGTGTGTGTGTGTGTGTGTGCGCGCGCATTGCTGCAACAACAGGGGTTCCCCACGGTGCGCTAAACGCGACTTGACGAGCTTCCCGCTGCTCTGAAGTGAAAGCTGCCGGCAGCCGTGCAGCTGTCAGGCCAGCTGATCATCCATTACTGCCTGTTAGTGAGCGAGCGGCAACATGTTTCCAGGCAGAGAGAGAGAGAGAGAGAGAGAGAGAGAGAGAGAGAGAGAGAGATGTGTTTACACTGTCATCAATTAGGATTTTTTTTTAGGTCAGCTCAGACTCATGGGATTTGATCAATTTTAATCAATCAAAAAGCCAATTTCACAGATACATTTACAGACTGAGAAGAAAGAATACAGTCAATAATACCAAGTTTAGGTTAGGCCATATGACTTCTATAGAAAGAAAATGTTTGATCATTACAGTATAGATTCAAGTTCATTGCATCTTTGGTGGCAAGTTCTGTGTGTTCTTACTGGTTGTGTTGCTGCTCTGCCGTTTATTACATTTCATGGGGAAAAATAAAGGAAAGATTCATCTTAAGTCAACAGGAGACTTCTAAGATTTGAATACAAAAAGAAAGAAAGGCAAGAAATAAGAGGACAATTAGCAATTAGAGGTTGTTGGACATCAAATACATTTATATTTCTAGTTCAAGAGGTCGACAGTTGGTGCACTGCCTGAAGATGATAGTTGAAAGTACATGAATGAATGCTATCTCACACTGTCAACCAATATCCTCCTTTTTGCTTATAGTTTATAGTTTATAGCTTATTGAAATCGATGTCTGGAACTTTAAATGAAAAAAGGGATAGCACCAGAGTTATTTGGCTTCCCCCTCCTTTAATTGTCAGTTTTTATAGGACAGATCTTTTCACTCTTTATGGTTTAAAAGACAAATACACTGAACATTAAACCAAAACAACCTGCAGAGTTGACTGAAAAAGCTAAAAACAAAGAGTAAAAACTACTTTTGCACAAGATGGAAGTCACAGATTAAAAGTAAAGACTAAATGAGAAGGTCAGTAGGATGGTTGAATGATGTTGAAGTGGACCATTGATCTCCAACCACTGCAGGCCGGGACTGAACTAAACTGAGGGGTGAGCCAATATTTCTTGCACTTTTCCATCCAAACCTGGTATTTGGGGAGGGAGACGTCAGCAAATTAATTTTGGCCATCCATCCTCGGGATGACAAGCGATCAGTTTGCTCGAGGGGAAGGCTAATTGAACGCCGCGTCGAAATCCTCCTGATGGGTAATATCTTTCATTATTCACCTCCCCGGGCTTCGTGACACACACACGTCGCCTCTTATTTTACCTTTGGGAAGGGGGGTGGGGGGCCAGACATGACAGCTCACAAGGTCTCCACATGGGAAAATAGATGTGGGGAGATAAATACATCCTCACATATACTCTCTCCTTGCTGTACCAAGGCACTTCTCCGCCCCGGTGAAGTATTGTGGGGTAGTGCTTAGGAAAAGGTCGCTAGCTTGGGGGGCCCAGGAGATGAAGTCATTTGTTAGGCATCCAAAAACGTCCAAGGGCATTACTGAGATTCACAGTTGTGGGTTCTTCTTTAAAGAACAAAAGTCCAAGTGAACACAACTAGGAATGTAAGAAAGGAAGGATGCAAGAGTCTTCCATTAGATATAAATGCTAGTTATAGATCCCCCAAAACACAAAACTCCTCCGGACACACTCCCTCTTCTTTCATGCTGAGACACTTCTTTGCCTCGGTGAAGTATTGTGGTGTAGTGCTTAAGAAAAGGTCGCTAGCTCGGGGGAAGCCGAAAGATGAAGTCATTCATTAGACAACGCATCTGAAAATGTTCACAGGCTCATACCTGAGGGTCCCTGATTAAAGACAGCAGAAGTCACATGTCGGACATGTTAGAAGAGGACAATGTTGGATGGAACGTCAGACGTTATCAGGAAGAAGAGAAAGGGTTGCTCAAAAGTTGCTCAAAACAGGGTAAAATTCTGAAAAATGACAACAAGAAACCACAAAATTAAACATAATTCCTTCTCACAAACATCAATTACCTTCCATTGTGTGAATCTAAACAACGCAACAAAGAAACCGCCTGATAAGGGAACTTTTTTCAGGTT